GAACCTACCCACCCTTCCCCTCTTCAGCTTCCCGCCCCTTTCGACCCGTTACCTTAATGGCAACAAGACCTCTTCCGAGGTCACTATGGTTGGCCTCCGGGTTTCACCAGTGGTTGGGACCCACACAGCAACCCTCCGGACGATTTCTCTTACGACATCGAGGATGATGGAGATGATGACGAAGCCGACCCTAGTGGTCACTAGATCCCCTTGTTCTTTATTTCTCCCCTTTGCCCCCTCCAAATGTTTTAATTTGGCGCACCGCGGACGGTGCATTGTTTTAGTGTGGGGGGGTGTGTAAGAGGAAAAGGGATTTTTTTTTATAGTGTGGGGGAAGGCTTGTCATCATGCTAGTGTGGGGAGGGGGGGGGGGTTTCATTGTAGGTGGTAGAGCTCTCATGGTTCGGTTGGCTTTATCATGTTTTGATGTTGATTTATCTCCTTGATTGCGATGATGATGTCTAGGGGTGATTTTGATAAGCTTTTGCTAATGAATTTTCAAGTGTTTGTGTAGGTGATGGCGCTTCCATGAAGAAAAAGCCAAACTCCCGATAGTCCAAATTTCCCTTAATCTAAATTTTTTTAGTTTGTTTTATTTTATTTATTTCTTCATTTTGTTTAAATTCTTAGTTTCTTTCTTTGATTTTTAACTTTTTTATTTATTTTTGTTTTATCTCAGTCGTTTCTTTCATTTAGGCTAACTTTTCAAGCTTGGAAATGAAGATAAAGGAATTTAAGGGGCAAATCGAGCCCCCTCGGTGAGATTGCATAATTTATCTTGTCTTCATTTCAAGCGGCATTTGGTGAGACCTTTCCTCTCTTTTATTTTCTTTTTCTTTGGGTGTTTAGCTAAGGTTTAGCTTAGGAAGAAGTTGAATGGTTCGAGGATGTTTGCTTTTGGTTCTATGGAACCTGGGATCGTTGATGTTTTTATCGAACGATCACTTGTATGACGATTGGGATTTAATTGGATTATATGCCTCGTATGCGAACCTTTTTTATTTCTTCCTCTTTCTTTTGTTTTGTTTTCCCCTTTTTGTGTTACAAGCATAATTATGACAATCTGAAATGATTTTTGATTTGTAATTTGCTCACTCTTTTGGATTGGTTTGCCTCTCTTGACGATGTGTCTTTGAATGCTTATCTTCCTAGTTGATGAGGGTTTACACGGTTTGAGAATGCTTTGGGTTGAATTAGACACATTGTAAGCTAAGGTAGCCTGGTTTAGAACTTTTGAGGACGTTTGAACCCCTACTTCACGGGAAAGTGGTAAGATGGTGTTGCTCTTTATGGTGGATAGGATTCCCTTGGTTGGTATTTGCTATATTTCTTATCCTGTGTGAGCGTCATTTGTTCTAATCTTCATCATTCTTGTGAGCAGCATTTAGGATCCTTAACTATGCATGTGTTAATCTTTGTGTTGGCGTCTAGCTCCCAAGATCGTGACCATATAACACTAGAGGAGGAAGAGGGCATTTCTTCTCATCTTTCTTTGTTTTCTTTGTGTTTTGTTACAAATTTGGTTTTCATTTTTACATTCACCCACTTGCTAACCAATTTGAGCCTTATTTCCCCTTTCTTGACTTAGCCATATTACAAACCTATCGGCCTATGTTCTACCAACCCTTGTAGTTAGTGAAGCATTGGCTTGTGAGGTTCGAGTTTGATAATGTTGAAGTTGAGCAAGAAAGTTGTGTAATTTGGTTCAAATAAAGTTTTGAAAGATTATTCATGAAAAGAATATGCAAAAAGGTTTGGCAAGAAAGTTGAAACTCATGAAAAACAAGCGCAAAAAAAAAAAAAAATGAAAAAGATTGAAGTAATGTGGTGTGGTTTGTTTTGAAAGGTTGTAAGTTTGAGAGTAGGTTTAATTCTTAAGATGTACTTGAGAGATGGCCACTCTTATGCTTCACTTAGGAATTGCCACCAAAATTTTCAAATTGTTTCCCAACCTTAATCCCTAGCCATGACATTACAACCCTACTTAAGACCCTTGGATTTTAGAGGGGCGTGGTCAAAGAACGGTGGAGGGAGATAGATTTCAACCCTATGGAGAGAGTATGCATAGTTGAGATGTCGGGATGACCTTATGATTCCACATTAAAATTTCTTTTTCCGGTTCCCTCGAGGAATCATCATGAGATAGCTAGGGGACGAATTAAAGCTAGTGGAGAGAACGCGGACCGTCTTGGTTGGGCCTAGGGCGGAGAATAAAATCATTAGTTCTCTATGCTTAGCTTAGGTTTGTCTTTTTCAACCTTGAGCATCTTGGAACGTGTTTTTCCTCTTTGAGTTGAGAAAGATAAGTATTCTTTGGTGCATTTATTTGCGTGTGAGTCCAAATGGAGCATTTCATTACCTTGAGGCTTGATTGGTTTTTCTAAAACCTTATCATGTTATGTTTGTTGTGTTTGTCTTTTTGTTCTAGTTTTCCTTGCTTGAGGACAAGCAAGAGGCAAGTGTGGGGGATTTTGATGAGTGGCATTTATGCCACTCTTTTATCCTTTTTCTCTAAGGATTCTTCCCTCATTAGCACTTGTTTGTCCCTTTTTCTAAGCATTTTTACCTAGTTTTGCTTCCTCTTTTCGTTTCTCCTTTATCTTCCCATTTCTTAGTCTTCTCGCCTTGTTTTTATTTTGATTTCCATGCTTTTGTTTTGTAGGTATTTTATGCCGAAAGAAAGAGGATTTCAAGGAGCCAAGCAAACTGTTGTGCGCGGGGTGCTGTGCGGCTGCTGTGCGGGCGCGCACCCTTGGCTGTGCGGGCGCGTAGCCCTGTCAGAACCCGCACAGCCAGGCTGAAGAAATAGAGCCATACCAGAGAGTTTGCGCGACTTATTGTGCGGCTTCTGTGCGGGCGCGCGACCAGCTGCGCGGGCGTGCAGGCCTACTACGGGCGCGCTTGATTTCCCCGTACCCTCAATGTTGCGGCCCCTCACTATGCTTAGAGGGCGCACACACCTACAGCGCGAGCGCGCATATGTCGTGTGCGGGCGCGCACCGCTGGGTTTCTGATTTTTTTGCGCCTTGTTGTCCAAGTTTCTTTCTTTTAGGGGAGCCACATATATATAGACAGGACTCTTTGTAATAGAGGACACTTAGTACTAATTCCATAGAACATTAGCGTAATCTAGAGAGAGAAAATAGATTGTTATTCAAGCATCCTTTATTGTATTCAACTTTGCTCAAGTATTAATCTTCAATCAATCAAGCAAGAATCCAAGTTTTCATCTTTCATTAATCCTTTCTTTAGTAATCTCTTCTCCTTTCCTTTAGTATTACTTATTTGTTTTATTGTTACTTATTCTTGTCAATCTTATTAGTTTATCTAGTTGTTATTGATTTCATTGATTTTAATCATGTTTTGTTTTGAGTTTCTTGAGTTTATTTCTAGTTTTGATATTATGTTTAATCTCCCTTCTCTAGGCTAAACTTTTAGCTAGGGGAAGGGGGTGGAAGATATGATTTGATATTGGATGAATGATGATGGTTGGATTGAACTTATGCCATATATTGATGAAAGACATGATATTTATTAGCTTGAGATTATTGTTGCACTCTATTTGATGTTTTCTAGTTTAAATGCATGAAAGTGATTTGAACTAGATTAGGATCATCTCTATTTTAATGATTGCATGAGAATGAGTTGTTAAAGTGGAGTTTTTATGGATTGTGCTTCTTTATTCTCTTGATTTGATTTTAACTAATAGGATGCATGAGAATGATCCTTATTAGTGTAGACCTCTTTCATTAATTTGCCTAGACTGATTCATGAGAATGAATTGTTTAGGTAGAATCTTGTGTTCTTTGACATGTGTTTCATGATAATCACCATTATTCCCCTCTTTCTAATCATTTGGACACCCCCGTATCCCTAGCGTCATTTTCCCTTGATTTTAACCATCATTTTCGTGCTTATTTGTAGTATTAGTGTTCGTACTCAACAAAACCAACTAAAACAATCCCCTTTTCACTCTTGCATTAGTGATTATTGATGTTGAATTAGCGTGCTTCCCTAGTGGTTCGACCCTTTACTTGCCACTAACTAGTTTAGTGTAGGTTTAGGTATTATAAATGATTAATTTGGTTAGGGTAATAGCTTAACGACCTATCTAACTCGTGATCATCAACATTCATATGCTTTATATTATTTTATTTCCGAATTGATAATCTGATTTACATGCATATTTTGAGACATGTTATATCAATAATATTATGAAATATATCTTTTAAAAAAAAAAATTATGAAAGAATTTTATAATAATTTCATTACAAAATATTTAGTTAACATTGATTTTAATTAGACAAGTAACTTAAGTTGGAGAAAATTAGTATGATTATTATGTTATAGAATAATACATTATTTTACAGTAGTTAAGGTTGTGTTGCTTATTTTTTTAGTAACATTGGGTGATTAAATTAGGGGCTATTTTTTTTTTTTGGCTTATTAAGTAGTTATGCAAAGTTTGTTAGGATATATATACTTTATTATGCATGGAATATTCTAACTATATAGTTTAGGTTATGCATGCACTTAGTGTAATCTGACATAGCATTAAGTAGCCAATGTACCATATATATATATATGTCGTATAAGAAGGATATTACTTTCATAGTATTGATTATAATTATATGTTGTCAAACTAAATAATTATAGAAAATTAAACTTTAACCAAATTGAAAATAACTCTCTCTTGACTTATAATTTTCATTTGTATGATGACAAGACTTGGAATTAAGTGAAGAACAATTGAAGAACTACACTTTAGCAAAGGTTGAGAAATTGCTTCAATGCAATGAACGAAGTCGTACAAATTTTCCTCCAATGCCGTTGCCGGATCAAATTTTAGTCTCTGATGGGCTTAATAAGCTCATTCAAGAAGAACTTCGTTATGATAGATGAACAAAAAGGGGTCTATGAATAAATAATGAGTGCTCTTGCAAGAGATAAAAGGAGGTGTTTTCTTCCTTTATGGGTATGATGGCACAGGAAAAACAGTTATGTGGAAAACTCTTTCGGCTGCTGTTCGAAGACAAGGTGAAATTGTACTTAATGTTGCATCAAGCAGAATTGTATCCTTGCTTCTTTCGGGAGGTAGAACTTCTAGATTTGCAATTTTTATCAATGAACATGAAAATACAACTTGTGAGATCAAGCAAAGAGTCCCTTTAGCTGAAATCTTAATTAAGACAAAGCTCATAATTTGGGATAAAGCACCTATGATTCACAAGTTTTGTTTTGAAGCTTTGGATAGAAGTTTGAGAGATATTCTTAGATTTTCTAATTCGATGGGAAGGTTGTTGTTTTTGGTGGATATTTTCGACAAATTTTACCGGTTATTCCAAAAGGAAGCCGACAAGATATTGTTTTTTCGGCTATCAATTCTTCATATATATGGGATTATTGTCGAGTCTATCTTTGACACGTAATATGAGATTGCAAGTTAGAAGTTCAGAGAATTCGAATGAAATTAGAGAGTTTTTAAGAATGGATATTGAGAATTGGTGTTGGTAGAGAAGGTGAACCTAATGATGGGGAAACAACCATAGAGATTCCTGATGAAGTTTTGATTAAAGATGAAGCAAGTTGCCCTGTTACATCTATTGTTAAGAATGTGTATACTTCTATTTTGCATAATTTGGATGACCCAAAATACTTTCAAGAGAGAGTTATTCTTGCTCCTACACATGAGTGTGTAGAGGTGATCAATGAACATTTGTTGAATATGATACTGGGGGAAGAAAAGGTATATTTAAGTTCAGATAGTATTTGCAAAGCAGATATGCAGAATAATCAAGAGTTATATTCAACAGATTTTCTTAATAGTATCAAATGTTCCGGGCTTTCGAATTATTCGTTAAGATTAAAGGTAGGTGTCCCAGTTATGTTACTTAGAAACATAGACCAACCTTCTGGTTTATGTAATGGCACAAGATTAGTGATTACCCAATTGGGTAATCCCGCTATTGAGACTAAAATTTTATCGGGTAACGACATTGGTCACAAAGTATTTTTTCCTTGCATGTTGTTAACTCCATCGGACATAAAGTTACCTTTCAAACTTCAACGAACACAATATTCATTGGTTGCTTGTTTTGCCATGACAATAAATAAAAGTCAAGAACAATCTCTTTCACACATGGGTGTATATCTTCTAAGGCCAATTTTTACTCGCGGTCAACTATATGTTGCAATATGAAAGGTTATAAAAAAAAGTGGGCTGAAAATTTTAATATGTGATAAGAAAGGTAAGACATATAATACTACTCAAAATGTAGGATATAAAGAAGTGTTTCAAACTGTGACATGAGGTAATTTTTTTATTACTATTATTAATATTCATTGGTAAAATTTCTTGAAAGTTCTTTTCGTTCATTTAAATTTGGATATTAAAACACATGATACAGAATGGAAGAATTGTACAAGTAGCAAAAGGAACAATGCTATAGCCTATGGGTGCCAATACTTCGACAGGTATTACTTTCATTTCATTAATTATACTTCCAATAACATCACTTGTATTTATTTTCCTTTATATTTTCTGTTTTGGTTTTGTTTTGCAGACACCTAATAAAAGGAGGCCTATTAAATTGAATGATAGATAGAATAACAGAGAAAGTGATGAGTAGATTGAATAAATGATGATGAATAATGTAGGATCATTGGCTTAATTTTCATCTCACCGTTTTTTTTTTGGAGGGAATTATCACTCATTTCCTTACTATGTTGATTAGATGCTATTGTTTAATTTTTTCTATGTTAAGTGCTATTATACCCTCTTTAGGGACCTACCCCTCTTAGTGCTCAATAGTAATGAATTTGTTTTTTTTTTTTTGAAGATAATGCATATATTCCACAATAGACAATACTATATAATATGTGTATTATACAATAAGTAACAATTAAAAGTCTTATTTAATGGTAAAAAAAAAAAAGAAATGGTTAGATTTAGGTCCGTGCAACTTATTATTCACTTATAAAACATTATATGTACCCGCCACGACCTTATTTATGGATCTAAAAGTTTAACCACATAAATGTTGGATAGTATTAAAAAAAAAATTATTAAACAACAATCTTGAGATCATATGTATAGAATCATTAATTTATATATGTATTAATGTATATAATCATAAAAAATGGCTTAACATTAACTAATTAACTTCCAATTCTCCGTAAAAAAAAATACTGATTATAAAAAGGGCGTCTTATATTATGACCATTATTAATCATAATAATAATAATAATTCAATTTATCCGTGCATGGCACGGGTCTTACACTAGTTATTATTATAAATGCTTTACAAGCATGATTATTATATTAATCCCATGATGCAGATTCATTGAAGACTATGTACTTTGTATGACAGTGGCGGAGCCTGGGATATATAACCAGGGGGACGGCAACTAAACGTAACATCATTTGACAAATATATATATATATAAAAAATTAAACACAACGTTAGGTTTATAGTTAAAATTTTACAAATAAAAAATCAACAATTTATAATTAGTCTTACAATTCAAAAAAAAAAAAAAAGATGAAAAAGTACATAAAGTTTAATATTAAACTATAATTTCATCCTTCGAGTCTTCATATTTTGAAAACGATCAATGATTTTTTCATCAGGAACATGTAAGAACACTTGCTTCTCAATAAAAGTGACCAAACAATCATTCATAAATTGTTCACCCATGCTATTTCGCAACTTACTTTTGACATATGTCATTGCGGAGAATACTCTTTCAACACTTGCCGTAGCAATGGGGAGAATCAACATCAACTTGATAAGCAAATATACAAGAGGATATGTCTTATCCTTCTTGGGATTAACAAGCATCATGGAAAGAGAGTTAAGATCACTCAAATTTTGAAATATCTCATCATTGTGCATATATTCCATGAATATATCAAGTTGACCTTCAAGTGTCATCAAATCAAAAATTGAAAATTTTTCGAGATAAAAAGAGGCAAGTTTGAGTACCTTTTCTTTGTCAAAAGATGAGAAGTTATTTTTAGGAATTAAGCAAGCCATACAAGTTAGTAACTCCATGCTTCTCTCACTAATCGATTATCAAGCTCTTGAAGATTCAAATCAATCACCCCCAAAAATATTTCAACTCGAAAATGATGTAGATTTGTTGCTTTTTCGACAAAGCGTCGTGATCTTCCTTGAGTAACATAAAGAGCATCCATAGTGGGAACATCAATGCCATGTTTAGTGCAAAATAAAGTAACCTTGTTTAAGAGAGTCTCTCACCCTTGTTCCCTCATTTTTTGCAACACACTTTTTGTGAAAGTAACTAGTTCCATGGAATTTACAATATCTTGCTCCTTTCTTTGCAAAGCAATACACAAATCATTAGTGTAACTAAAAATAGTAGACATCAAATGAGCAACAAAAATAAAATCAAATGACTCTAATTGTCCTAAAACAATTTGAGAATTAAACTTATCTTCCGATGCACCATGTTTCCCAATGTGAACAAGTACCTTAACAATTTTAGAAAATAATCGGATGACATTTACAAGACACTTGTAATGAGATCCCCAACGAGTATCTCCGGGCCTCTTCAAACCAAGCTCTTAATTCAAACCCGATCCACTCAAAATTTCCCCCACTTCCAATGCTTGAGAAAGTTCTTGAGCTTGACTATTACGAATCATTTCTCTTCTCTTGCAAGAAACTCCAACAACATTCAACAAGTTTGCAAGTATTTCAAAAAGCCAACCACAACTATTATTCCTTTTAGTAACGACAACTAGTGTTAGTTGAAGTTAATGAGCAAAACAATGTATATAGTAGGCTCTTGGAGTATCATTCATAATCAAAGTTTTAAGGCCATTTATTTCACCCTTCATATTACTAGCCCCATCATACCCTTGTCCTCTTATCATAGATGGACTCAATGAATATTCCACAAATAGTGACATAATTTCATATTAAAGAGATACAGCGGTAGTATCACCAACATGAACAATGCCTAAAAATCTCTCCATTAGCTTTCCACTATCTCTATCAACAAAGCGCAAAACAAAAGCTAATTTCTCTTTTTGGGACACATCACTTGACTCATCGGCCAATATAGAAAAGTAATCATCACCAATCTCTTAAATTATGCACTTAGTCGTTTCTTTTGCAAAACAATTAATAATGTCTTTTTGGATCGGGGGAGAAGTCATTTGACAATTTCCGGGTGCATTTTCAAGAGTATGATCACCTACTTCCTTAACCTTTTCTCCTAACCATTTCAAAAGCTCAATGAAATTACCCCTATTATGAGACTCGTCACTTTCATCATTGCCATGACATGTCAAACTTTGCCCCAAAAGAAACCTTAAACAAGTTAAAGACGCATTCAAACGAATATAATATTCATTTTTAATCACCTCACTTGCCTTTTTAAACATATTCAAAATTGATTTATTTTTCCCATCTTTTAAATTCTTATATTTCTCATAAGCAAGATTATGAGGACTTTTAATTCCATCAACATGATTTTCAAATCGTTCCGGTTTATTCCATTTCCTAAACCCTCCATCAACAAATGAATCACTCCCCATATTATTTTCAACTTCACCTTTGAACAAATAACATACAAAACAAAATGCGGCATCTTTTTCAATGCTATACTCAAGCCAATCCCTTTTGTTGAACCAATTCACACTAAAACGACGCAAACCTCCTACTTGTCTTTAAGGGAAGTTGTGAGTTTTTGGTTGACAAGGTTTTTTTAGAATATAATCTCCCCTTACCGCATTTCTTTGATTTGGGGGTTAATCCATTATATTCATTCTTTTTCTTAGGTCATGAGGAAGTAGCTAAACATCATATATCAATTCTTCCTCCTCTAGTGGTACATTACTAGTACTTGTACCACCATCATTTTCTACAACATTTTCTTGAGTTTCGGGGGAGGTAAAAGAAGTGGGTTCATTTCCTTGAGATTTCATTCTTTTAAACATGGATTGTCGAAGATCGGGTTGTTTTGACATTTCCTAATTTAATCAATAAGAATGCAAAAAATGAATCAATAATAATTCAATTACCATCATATATTCATAACATACAATCCAAATAACAAAACAATTTAACAAAAATAACAAGTTAAATTGAACAATTTGACAACCCTAACTAAACATTGGAATTCAAACAATTAACCATTAGAAAATTAGGATTTAAACAATTAGCACTTTTAAAAAATTGGCACTAAAACAATTAAAAAAATAACAAGATTTAGGGTTTAGAGGGTTAATTTATAATTAGAAGTTACTTACTATGAATATGGGAAAAAATCAAAGAAAAATTGACAGATGATGGGCCGTCGGTGGGGTGTCAGCAGTCGGCGTCAGTCATCAGGTTTCGCCGGCGTCGGTCGTCACTCGTAAGTCGTCTATGTCTCGTCAGTCACTTGCATGTTTGTCTTTTAGTAATTAGTATTTTTTATTCATTATATTATTTGTCTTATATGTGATGTGGCTTTACTTCTTAATTTTGCTCTTTTTTGTTTGTGGGTCAGTTACAAGTCTTTCGGTTAAGTCTAGGCGCATAGCAACTATGTATTTTGGGGCATATAGGATGGCAGTTTTGCAATTTGTTGGAACTTTCTAACATGCAAGTGGACCATCTTCATTACGGGGTGAATGATGTGTAACGGGGAGTGAAAAAAGAATCGGGAAAACTATTTATTCTATCACTATAAAGCAAAAATTCAGTAACCATGTCTGTAAAAAAAATTGAAGAAGGTCTTCAATGACAATAATGTAGCTCAACAAAGCAATAATTTGTCAAATGTGAACTCCTAAGTACGGCAGTGGATTAATAGAATGAGTAATCGGCTAGTAGATATTTTGGGTGTCGATATGGCGGAAGCAATTCGGGAAGATGGAGAAGACGGGCATGGTTGCACAAGGGAGCTGAGATTCGACTCTGAGATGGTTAGTTATGGTTTGTTTCATTGCTTTGTGGGTTGTTTGTTCGCTAATGAGGTAATCAACTAAAGCAATTGTGATATTTAAAAATTAAAGCTTGGGTAAGAGGAGGTTAGAGTTTATGTTGAGTTTTTGTAATTTAGTAATTATGTTGGTTAATTGGTAGGGGTGGGTAATCTATTATTGAGTAATTATTGTGTTTGTTGTCCAAATTGTGATTGTTATGTGGGTATGTTTGTTATTCAATTTTTATCGTTGTTTTTGTTGTAGTTGTTGTTGTTCTTTATAATTGATGATAGGCTAATGTAGGTGAATTTATAGGATAATGTTGGTAATAATTTATTTTAATTGATGATAGTGATGGCATTTGTTCTATAACTTTGTCTTTAGGTGTTGTGTGATCTTCGAATTTGGGCAGAATGCATGTTATGTCGTTTTTGTTTGGTATTTTGTGTTGTTATGTTGTTTGGTTCTATAATGAGCCAGTTGAATGAGTTGTGGATGTATATGTATTGTAGGTTGGTCCATTTGAAGAAGATAGTGAGGATGATGGTGAGGATGATGGAGAGGATGATGTAAATGTTTATGATGAGGGGGTAGAGAGTGGGGATGGTTTTATAGAAGAGGAGGAGGATGAAATAGGAGAAGGAGATGATGGAGGAAATGGGGGTC